GATGTGTTAACGAGGAAAATGAATCGATTCGTTGACTCGTTTATTGTGCTAATAAATAGATATATTCGTGAATACTGAGTGCTAAACATTAGTTTGTTTATCTCAGAGCATCCCGCCTCCCAATCCCAGAATACACATCAAATGGATGCGCCCTCATGTAGTCAAATTGAATCACCCCTACAATACTAATCTTGAAATTATGCAAATTATAGATAACTGATTTAATATGTCAATCAATCCTCTAATTTATTAATATGCAAGATCTAAAGCACGTGTCACACACTTTAGCACCTGTTGAAAGTTGAAATTGACAACAACCACGTGACCTACCATGTGACATATGCCAATTACGTTCCTAACCTTGGTGAGTATATAACCCTACAAAGTCAGCGACCAACCACAACGTCAGTCAGCCTCTACATCAGCAACATGCACCTCCTCATCGTCGCCGTAGTGCTGCTCTCTGCCGTCTTCACCGTTGTCTACAGTCAGACAGGCGGCGCCTTCGGGGGTGGACTTGGAGGATTTCTTGGAATTAGTAAGTTACTTCGTAAAAAATAGACTTTAAGTACAGTCTTACATAAGTGGACGTGTCATTTCGAGGATGATACACATGTTCTCAAGGTGACAATACATCCTACTTTAAGATAATAATGGATATTTTCCTGGGTTTTTTTCCAGCCAACTCTTCATGCTGTGATCAGGTATTGGACCATCTCGCTGATGACATTGCTTTTGAGTTTGAGAAGGTGCCAAGAGACGAGTTCCTCATCGGGCGATACTTCCAGATTGACCAGAGACTTAGAGAGTTCTGTTCGCAGTACCTCAACAGAGGTAGGCAAAACTTCTGAAAATATGTGCTCTATAGTGTTGATGTTCTGACTTTTCATGACTCAGGTGTATTCCAACCAGAGAAGGGACATTAAGGGACATCATTCAGCTATTCATCCATATCATTTAGTTATCCCTATACATCACGCGGCAGCGTAAATGTGTCTGTAATGGCGTGATGACATGGCACCATACCGAGAACAACCAGAGGCGATGCCGGTCTTTGAGTTAAACACGTTGGTGAAAGACGCCAGCAAGGGTATGGTTTGGAACAAGAGATTACTAATCGCTGTGGACAAGGATTTGAACCAAATGCCATAACATTCTCACAGGAATAACAACGTCACAAATGTTGAAAAAGTCTGTAATTACGTAGATCTTAGACATTTTACCACTTTGTCAGCGCTGAATGAACATCTTGTTCGAGGTGAATGTGTAGGGTGGTTCTGGACAAATCAAATTCCATATTTTTTGCTTCAAACATACAACACGAATTTCTTGTCATTACATTGGTGTCGTTTTCTATACAATGACAGGGGGGGTTAACGATTTTTTCCCAAATAGCCATAGTACACAGAAGAGCACTAGATGGCGGTACATGTGTAGTAATATGGGGAACCAGAGATAACCCACTACACCAGGACCTAGAACTGAATCAGCGGAGATATAGTTGAAGAGGATAGTCTCATCCATCTTGCATAATAGCACTAACACATTTTGTGGTTAGTTGTTTATGCAGTGTTATAGTGACATCACATTTGTCACTCTCCATGCTTCAATCACTCAACATTATATTTTCCTCTATTACAGCGTGAGAAGCTGCTTGGTGTTACCTAGGTAGCCTGCTACACAGGGCAAGGATTCTGCCTGTAATTGATCTACAATAAATACTAATATCAACGTCTATTGTGTTTCTGTGTGTTCGATTTTGCTACATTCAACAAATGGTCATGCGCACTGTAAACTGCAATAAGTCTGAAAGGACGTCATTGAACCTGATCACAAGATCACAAGATCATTTTTAGTCATCAAGTACAACCACTGATTTCTTGGAAGAAATCTAACCCCGAATACCCTCAGGGGTAGACAAGAATTTGAAAATATGTCCCTAATGCGTTTGAAAATTCAATTGAACTGAAATGCATAATAACACAAGAAAGGGGTATATATTCAATTAACGACCAGTATTGTTACATGTTGAATGATTCCGACTATGTCATGAGCATGTGAATCACCATCCAATACCGATGATGCCAGTGGTTCGCAAAACTATCAGCTAATCCTGCCTCACAAGTAGGGACACAAGTCAGTTGTCTCCCTTGAAACATTTGGCACAAAAATGAAAATCGGACATTATTTTGTCACGGATGTGTCAAATTTAGAAATATTTCCCATATTTCTACCAAAAAAACATTTTGGAAGCTTTACCGAGGCCCTGAATATTGTAACCCTCATCCAGTAAAAGTCGTTTGAGGTCTTTCAAATCTCCGCCTCAAAATCCCCAGTCTTGAGGAGAGTGGTATTTTTGGCACTCTGTATCTTAATACACAGATCTACAAATCAAAGAGATTGGTGGTTTCACTGGGCTCTTATTTCCACTTCATATATGTTAATGACGTATTTGGCTATTTAAGCCTTTATTGATTGTTATCATCTATCGATATCCTTGATGCTTGAACACATTCCTCTTTTGGTGCTGCTAAATCCAGCAGAAGTTCCGATTCAAATGTTTGAAGAAACGGATCAGTAAGGAGGGGAGGGCGATTGTGCTGGTTGAGATGCCGACTTCTTAAATAAGGCCTTACCCGACGTTTCACACTTCAGTGAACTATAAAACGTCAGTGCAAAAGACAACCCAGTTTTGTGCTATCCACAGATGTAGATTCAAGTTGGTGTACAGGGAAAATAGCTGTGAATATGCCAGGAAATCCAGCATTTCACATTTCGCAGGAACATGAGGATGATTTGATATTGTAGCAGGATTAGGGTTGTATAGTTGAATGAGACCAACGCCTGCTGGGGTGTGAGTTGTGACTTAGGAATCACAAGACATTTTCACCTTGTAGCAATAGGAATTAGGAATAGGTAAAATTGTCAAAGCACATACATATTAAAATACTGCACGTCATCGTTAATTACAGGATATTCAAGAAATACTGTATTGCTTACATTTATCATAAATCATATCATGTGCAGATGAAAACACAAACACACTACACTAAGTTATTTTAATCGTTAGACTTGGTTAGAGCATAGACATGTATATGTATAACGTCTTTGGTTAGAGTTAGACTATCCAAAAATTACTGTTTGTTTAAATAGTTTGTAAATGATAGAAACATCAGAATTCTATAAAAGTACAATAAAAGATTAAATATGCCTCCCAAATGTGTGGCACTCAGGTAAGAGTAAAGGCATCTACCTCATCTTGCACATATTGTCCATCTATAAATGTTAATATACACAAAAAGTATATTATACACTTACTTATTGAAACATAAATATCATAATAAAACATATGTTATCCTACCATCATATCCGTCCAAAAGTAGCATAATCATATGATGGCATAGATATAACTACATATATAAAACAGAATCTACATACATAAATATTTCAATCTCTATGCCACAACAGCACACCATTACCTATGTTGTAATATATACCTACCTATGTACAATGTAAAAAAATTAGAAATATGTATTATTGATTGCACATGGAACAAATATAACATGTACAATGAATACAAATATTGATATTGTTTCTTTCTTGTTTATTCTTGAGCATTTTAATACTTTTAATGTTTGAATAACTAAATTTAAATATCAAGATATATTGACAGGCATGAATGACAACTGTCGACTTCCGTGTAGGTTTCAGCATACATGTGCCGTGTTTAAGGTAACGTTCAGGATATTATATATGCTACTAAAAAATTGAAATGTGGAGGATATTCAAAAACAAGGTGCCCCAGGATATCGCAGACATGACCGATGGTCGATTAGTCTGTACTAAGTACTGGCCATGGTAAGATGGTTATGTTCTCCCGTTGGATGTACTCAGAAACAATACGGGCCCTGTGTGCTCTTGACATCCTGAAATACAAAACGACGTCCATGTCGGCGCCAAAATGGCACCATGTGTTATATCTGTGAATAGCATGGTTACCATGGAAACGCCCCAAAATGAAATGTTGAGTAAGAATTACAAGTCTGGCAACCTTGGTTTTCGAAAACTAGAGATTCCAAGCTTTCCAAAGACACCAAATACATCTTGCTATACTTCCTGATATAGTTCAGTTTACATTTCGAATTTTACACAGACTATGTTCACGTGCACATCATGAAACACTGCTTGGCCTGTTTACACGAAATTCATAACACCTTCTGAATGGAACAATCGTCGTCCAAATCCATATACATTCATCTTGGTTCCGAAAGTATCATCCCAAAACGGAATATCCTCTACTTTCTGAATAGTATAAAATGACAACAGAGAATAACGGGTGTGGATGTTCTACTGAATACATTCCATTGGGACTAAACGTAATTACAGTGAGATTATTTTCAATGTTATCATTATAAATCCGTGATAACACCAGGTTATCGCAAAACACTCTACTCGTACTGTCAGTGAAAGGAAGGAAGTGTTGACGAACGTGGTCTTTGTTAGAAAGCAGTGGTCTGTGTCTGAGAGCCGTGTATATGTTACAGGGAATATGCATAATCAGGGAATATGTGTAATGTCTTATTCACTCATATATATAATACCTAAATGATTCAGGAATTATACATATTCCCTGGTTTTAGGAGAGTTTTTTTAGACATGTTCCCTGAAACTGTTTGAAAGTTTAGATGTTTTTGGGGTTGTTTTTGTGTGTGCACCTTTAATGTAAAAATATAACTTTTAGCTTGTTAAGATCAAACAACTTAATGATTGTAGTAACAATATCTCGGATGAAGTAGTGCAGGATTTCCCACTCACTTTCGATGAGTATGTGATCTCAATAATTCCAACAAGGGTAGCGCTTGTAGTTTTAAATATTTAAGTGTTAATCTCATTCCATTAATCGGGTGAAGTAGTACAATCTTGTAACAACATTTGATCACAGTAATATCAACCAGGATATAAAAGAGGGTTTTTTCTGCAACGTTAGTCACATTTGCAAAATGGAGCTTGAAGAGAACTTTACACAGTCCCTGTACAAGATCTATGAAGAGAACAAGAGAGTCCTGATCCCTATAGAAGAGTACGGTAAAATACTGAGTGAAATTATTGATGCTACTAACACTTCCAAGAAGACCCCTGAAGAAGTATGAATTATACAGTGTGGGGATGTACAAAAGTTGATACGAAGACGCCAACAACCTGATGAAGCTCCTGTCTACTTTGTCAGCATAGAAGAGACATTTGATGTTATCAAGCGAGCCCATTTGGCGACTGGTCATGGTGGGAGAGACAAGATGGTGAAAGAAGTGTCCAAGTAATATGCTAATGTGACCCAAGATGCTCTCGCCCCTTTTCAAGAACATGTGTGCGGAGTGCTAACGCAAGAGAAAGAGACTATTGTTAAGCCTATTGTCAGCAAGAACTTCAATTCCAGATGCCAAGTTGATCTCATAGACATGCGGTCAATGAGCCAAGGACAGTTCAAGTTCATCATGGTTTATCAAGATCACCTAACTAAGTTCTGTGTTCCCTCGTGCCCTTACGTCCAAGCGTGCTGCTGAGGTTGCTTACCAGTTATTTGATATTTTCCTTTTGTTTGGAGCTCCTTGCGTTCTCCAGAGTGACAACGGATCAGAGTTTACTGCCCAGGTAATTGCCGACCTGAAGCAAATGTGGCCAGATCTTGTAATAGTTCACGGCAAGCCTAGGCATCCACAAAGCCAGGGCTCTGTTGAGAGAGCCAATTGTGACATCAAGGACATGTTGGTAGCATGGTTAGGTGACAACAATACAACTGATTGGACAGTCGGCCTTAAGTTGGTGCAGTTTCAGAAAAACTCTAGTTTCCACAGTGGAATTAAATGTTCTCCCTTTGCAGCACTCCTTGGTGAAGATGCAAGCACAGGACCAACTTCACCAAGCCCTCCACATGAGATCACCCAGAAGCTTCAAAGTGAAGATGATCTTCTTTCTGTAGTATCTAATCCCACATCAAGTGAAGAGTCCGACACTTCTACAGACCCTCCACCAGAAACCGACTTTGCCACACCAGCATCAAGTGAGTCGCCATCTGAATCTACAATTGAGACTCGACAGGAAGATATCCATCTTAAGAGAAAGCAAGCCAATGAAGCACAGATGCAGCAGACTGAGAGAATGGTCAAACGTAGCAGGCGTGTGATGACATAAAGTAAACATTGGTGACAATGTAACTGTTCAAATTCCCCACGTTGACAGGGGCCGATCAGATCCCAGAAACCTTATTGGAGTTGTGCTGGACTGTAGTGAAAGTGACTTGTATACCATTGCCGTTAAGGGGGTGAAAAGTTTCTTGTTAATATTTTATTTCAATAATTCCGTCTGGAGGTGCTACAATGATAAGTTAAGCATTTAAACTTTCAAACAGTTTCAGGAATATGTCTAAAAAACCTCTCCTAAAACCAGGGAATATGTATAATTCCTGAAAATTTTAGGCATTATGTATATTCCCTGAGTGAATCAGACATTACACATATTACCTGAAATTCGGGGATTATGCATATTCCCTGATTATACGTATTCCCTGTATACATACAGATAAAGCCGGGGTTCCCTTTGAATATTCAAAATGTACAACACTGGTACTTTTACTGGAGAGATGCGACAAATGTCATGTATTCCAAAAATTCCCGTCGCGATAACGTCTGTGCCTGTTCATTGTGAGATCGATTTTGGTCCTGTTTTTGTTTTGTTTTTTGTTCTTTAAAATATGTTGTATTTCGGCGAAAACATGAGGGCGGAGTCGTGTAGGGCGCCAACGGGGTCAGGAGCACGTAAAACAACAACCAACCTGTGAGGGCGGTAGGTCATTTACATTTGACGTGAGGAGGGCGTTGTCGCATACATTAAAGATGACGTCACGCATTGACGTAGTTCACCCACATGCGGAACGGCGCGAAGACTCCCAAGTGATATGTAAACATTTCTACAGAACGGCGTAAAACTAAACTCAATGTGTCAGTCATGTGCATCACCTACAGAGACTTTCGATAAAGATCCACTTCCAGATGACTATCAGAACCAAAACACACTCGTTGAAACAATGTACAACATGGAACGTTTGCAACGGGTCTTGAAGGCAAATGGTGACACACGTCCTTTCGAATCAATCCAACATAAGATATTCCTCTGACGCATAATAATGCAAATAACATGTCTTCATAACATGCATTACTGCATGTAGCCAACTCACACTTCATACTGGCAACTCCATAACATCAGTAACATTCCACATGATAGTTTCTGCCTCGGGAAAACGAGGACACTGTAGCGAAGAAGAGTAGTCCCCCACTGATAGTGAACGTAACCTCAGCAATGTCACATTCAAGAACACGGGTTACACCTAATTACACACACTCAATAGTTTGGGCTCCAGTCTGTCGGAGAACATTGAACATAAACTGGTACACTCACAAGAAGGCTACAGATCCCTAATGTGCAGAGATATTGAAACAATCTTCAGATGACGACAACCACTAAACGATAAGCTTACGCTCGTTTGGTGGACGTTTGAAACAGTAACCTCATGTCCAAACCCAATACGACTGGTCATTTTAGAAAGCGGCATGCAGGCTTATGTTAAGAAATGAAAGACATTGTTAGAAACCAACATAAAGAATTACTGGCAGAAAACAATGGACAGACAAAGTACAACGGGGAAGGTCCTATGGATATACAGCATCTTTATTATCAATGTAAGCAATGTTATCAAGCAATTGATGTACAATACTACTGGAAATGCTTATATATACATGAGTAGGGTTTGTACAGTAAGTCCATTGATGTTTACACAATCGATACGGTTGATTTACAAAGTGTGAAGGATGTTTACACATACAAGATAATTGCTTCCATAAGCACAATTAAGTTTGGAGGGATTAAGGGGAAATTAAGTCAACGATGTGATGGACACGAGATAAACAGGATTAAGATTGCTTACTGATGAGTTGATGGTCGGCAGTGGAGATGTGACTACCTTGGTCTATGTTTATGGCCGATTAGAGTCTCTTGATGCGATGGCTTCTAGTAGTTTCCTGATCTACATCTCAATAGAACTTTCCCCGTTGTTCACCACACCATCTTCCAAATTCGGTTTATCCTCACTGTGCAGGCAGCCTGCAGAGGATTAGGATTAGTGATGTTGTTTTAAGGAAAGGGATCGTCCCATGATTTAGCTGAACTTAACTCATGGCCAAGGGACAGATTCCAAGCTGATGGATTGTCAGACTGATATCAACTCACCAATTATCAATGTTCAATTAATGTCACTGTTTAAAATTCATGTTGTCAGCTATATATTACACAGGAAAATGCTTAGTCACTATCATTCATCACCATGGCTAATGTTCAAGTAAATCTAGAGTTCATTCCGAATACGCAGGTGGTCGTCACATTGTCGTAACCTATGATCAAGTCTGATACCAGCAAATATTTTTATCAATAAGTCTCATTTGCAATAGTTCTTTTCTAGTGTAAATTTCTCTATTAAAATATCTGTACTGAAACTCTAAGAGTTTCACATCCTTGGTACAATTCTATATTTCGTAAAAAACAGTATTCCATGAAATATTTCTGTCGAGTTCTTTCTGCCATTTATGACACACCTTGGGGAGAGTGTTACAAGCAATCATTTTGTCATAATAATTCCTACCACCTTTAAATCTTGAAGAGTTGAGTTTAATGAGAGGTTTTTGAGTGTTAATTGCATGAGAGGAAAGAGTGGTTTTCCAGGTTTTTGGAATATTCGATTTAAGTTTATTTTACTCTAAAACAGTGCCTTTAATGCGATAAAAAAATTTAATTCATTGAAAGACAAAAAAACATTTTCTCCCCAAATGTCTCCTATTAAGTGAATACCTCCATCGAACGAATTTTTAATATAAAGATTACTATTTCTACACTGGTGATTCACCCACAAAGGTTCAGTCAATATTTCTTCTACTTGATTAATATTAACTATAGTTGTTTGTGATAGTTACTCCATATATAGTTTGGCATGAAATGCATGTGGACCCGTTTTTTTACAGGTCATTGGCTCCCTCCCTCTGCAAGCAGTCTGCGGTCTGCTGTTTATTTTGTTGACAGTTACATAGACAGATTCTTTAATACAAATGCATAAAATCGGTGATTTACAATGTGATTAGGTTGTCTGACAAAGCACCCACTTGCACAGTTTGAGATCGATTGGGTCATTGGATGAAGAGATATTTACAAAAAAACGGGTCCACATGCATTTCATGCCAAACTATAGCTAAAACCTCACTCCAAAATGGATTGTCAACCATTAGATGTTTATCAATGTGTGCACCAAGAAGAAATATTAAAACTTCACATTCTTTCTTCAGAGCACTATAAAAGAACAAGAGATGGTAAGATGGTTAAATTGTTATTATTTAATTGCTGAGATCTGTGTGATGTACTCGATACACTGACAGTGCCATAATCAGTTCCATTAGGCTACACCGCCGTTCCAAAACATGGGTATACAGAATGTCAAGTCACAAGAATAAAAATGCGAGATTTCTCAGTTCAATATCGTGTATGGCCACCCCGCGCATTCACCACTGCCAAACACCGTCTCCTCATCGACTGCCTGATGCTTGTGAACACGTGGTTGGAGATTCTGCGCCATTGCTCTTGCAAGGCAGCGCCAAGTTCCTGCAAATTCTGAGGTTGGTTCCTAAGACCACGAAGCTTTCTCCCAAGTGCATCCCAAACGTGCTCTATTGGATTAAGGTCAGGGGACCTCGATGGCCAGTCCATGACGTTGATTCCAGCGTTTTGAAGGACATTTCGTGTCAACATCGCGGTATGCGGCCGAGCATTATCATGCTGGAACTGTAGACCTGGGCCTTGAGCCGCCATGAAAGGAACGAGTTCAGGGGTGAGCACCTGGTCGCGGTAAGCAGCAGCTGTGAGGTTTCCACGGATGACCAGAAGTCGGGAACGGTTGTTCCCACAGAAAGCACCCCACACCATGCAACTTCCGCCCCCGAATCTGTCTACTTCCTATACACAACATTGGGCATACCGTTCACGACGTCGTCTCCATACTCTATGCCTGCCGTCCGCGAATCTGAGGGTAAACCTGGATTCATCGCTAAAGGCGACTCGATTCCAGTCTCTCTGGGTCCATCGGAGGTGACGTTGGGCTCACAGCAGACGTTGACGTTGATGAAACGGCGTCAATATTGGCCCACGATATGGACGTCGAGAATGGAGATTGGCAGCCCGCAACCGATTTCGAATGGTCTGTGAGGACAGTCGACCTCTAAACATCTCAGCCCTGGTTCGTGTAGCCGGCAGAAATCTGTCACGTAGGTGACGTAGGACGATTTGACGGTCTTCTGCTCGTGACGTCACACGTGGACAACCCGACCTTGGGCGATCAGAAGTGGTGCCAGTTTGTTGTAGACGACCTCGCAAGTCATAAACAGTACGACGGCAGCATCCCATTGCTCTTGCGACGTCAATAACTGATCTTCCCGCTTGCAACATGCCAACGGCGCGTTCACGTTGCACATTTGACAATCGTGGCATTTCAAGTACCGTTAGAACTGTGGTTTAAAAGTGTTTTTTCAATTCTTGAGGCCAATGCAAACACGTGAATATGAAGAAAACGTCGATGCGAAGATCACGTGATCGACTGCACGTGCAAAACCTGATTTGGCACTAACGTCATTTGCACTACGAATGGATGGGTTTGAGTGGGTTTTGCTAACGTTTTTCTAGAGTCGAAAGATAGGGATCCCATTTCGGATACATAGATGTATCATCAGAGAAAAATTATTCATTATTTTTCAAATTACATTTTTTGAAGTTTCTTTTTTGACTCAGTATATCTTGTTGATTGGAAATATTCTTGGATTTTGAGATGATGTTTTATTCAAATGTCTTCTTAGGCATGACGCTTTAATGATTTTATAAAGGATCTAATGCCATTCTCAGTCCACCTTCTTCATATTTTCTACATAAAGTTGTTCACTTTATTTTATCCTTCTTACCATCCCACATGAAGTTATGCATAATGTCATTCAATTGATTAATGAATTCTTTTGGGGGAGATGGAAGAACAGAAAAAATATGGACTAAAGTTGATAGTGCTAATGTTTTCAAAACTGTAATTTTCCCTTGTAGTGTTTCCTCTTTTT